TTTTTGTTCATTCTTCTCACGTCTTTCTCTATTTCTCGATGTAATGTGTTTCTTGGCCTTCCACTTTTCTTTTTACCTTGAGGGTTCCGAGTGAGGGCTTGTCTTGCGAGGCAGTTGAATGCTTTACGCAGTGTGTCCTATCTACTTCCACCGCTTTTTCCTGAATAGCTTCCGCACTGGAATCTAGTTTATTCTATCCCACAGTAGGTTGCTACTGTTGGTGTCTGGTCAACGGATCCTAAGCATTTTGAGTAAGCAACTGTTGTTGTTGTATCTTCTGGATGATGGATTTAATAGTTATCCAAGTTTCCGTTCCATACGATAGAACTGTCTTGAAAATCCTGTGCGTGTCTGATAGAAGAGCGAGATCATCTGCGAAGTCCAGATCATCCATCTGCGTCCTAGCGGTCCAGTGGATACCGTGCTCCTCTCCAGATATTGACGTCTTCATAATCCAGTCGATCACCAGGAGAAAGAGAAAGTGTGAGGGTAAGCAACCTTGCCTGACACCGGTTTTCACCTCGAAAGAGTCTGTTAGCTGAAGTTGATGTAGAATGGTGAGTTCTATTCAACTGATTGTTCCTTAATGATGCGTAATGTAGCAATTAGGTCAGTACACGATCGATGATTAAGAAATCCAGCCTTTTGATCTCGAAGTTGGACGTCTCAGAAGTCCTTAATTCTGTTAAACAATACCCTGTTGAAGACTTTGCCTGGTATCGAAAGAAGAGTGATGCCTCTGTAGTTCTCACACTTGCTGAGATCTCCTTTCTTTGGTATTTTGATCAGGTTTCCTTCTTTCCAGTCTGTTGGTAGTTGTTCTTCATCCCAAAAATTGTTGAAGAGGAGGTGGAGTATCTCTGCAGTTGCTGCCACATCTGCTTTTATTGCCTCCGCTGGAATCCTGTCTTATCCTGCTGCTTTTTCACTACTGATTCGTCTAATGGCCACACTGATCTCTCCAATTATTGATGGGCCAACATCTACTAGAAGGTCCGAAAATGCTGTTTGAATGATCAGGGGGTTCACTGGGTCTGGTCAATTTGATTTTTTGAATGTGCTTTACCCATCTGTTTCGCTGTTCTTTGGTGTTGTTAATTGCTTTGCCTTCCCTGCTGGATTCGAATCCTGTGGGGTGCAGGAGTCGTGGATGCACACTGCTGATGAGTCCCTATACATGGGACGAAACGGCCGTCAGTGCTTCTAGGTTTCTAATGGTGGTCTAACATTGATCGATTCATTGTTACAAATGAAATATTATGCCGCCGAAAACCAGATTGATGAAGGCATAAAGGTTTACAGATCTCTCACCGTTTTTGTTTCTTTCTCCCAGTCCTGTTGTCCCATGATGTCTTCATATCCAATGTTGTTCATGCCAACCTTGGTATTTAGACCTATCATCAGCATCTGTAGACGATTGACTGCAACCTCTGGTAGAGTTGATCTTTAACGCCTTCGTTGTAGTCTTTGTGCATAGCATTGGATGACATTCATTGTAATGTCCTCTTTCTTAGTTTTAAAGGATGCTTTGATTATCCTAAGTTCGTGAGGTTCCCATCCTATTAGTGCCTTTTTTGACTGCTTGAACAGCATCAGTGCAACTCCTCGTGTATCTGTAGCATTTTCTTCTTCATAGCAAGAGTATAGCAGCAGTTCCCCTGAAGCTAGTTTCAGCTGCCCTCCCTACGTCCAATGTGTTTCACTGATTTCAAGCACTTCCAGGTCGTATCTTTTCATTTCTGCAGCAACTTAAAATAGTCTACCAATCTCCCATGTACTTAAAAGAATGGTTGCTCCGGTTATCAGAAGAGGCATGGGCCTCGTGACTTCCTAGATAACTTGGTTTTCATCATGAGACGTTATTATTCTTATGAAAGAAGACCCCATAACTCCCAGGGCAGAGTTAAAATGGTTTTGAATCATGTCTTCTGGTAAGCGATTTTAATCCAACCAACCCCAAGCCCAACTCTTGGGACTGGCAGCAGCCCATGAGGGCTCTAGATGGAGCTGCGAAAATAATATACATGAATTTAAATGACTTTCAAAATGACAGCTGTGAATACTTCTGCAATTTTTATACACTCTTCTACCAATACTCGTATGTGGGATTTTTGCACAGTGTTGTTTGATTGCACTAATTAATACCTTCAGATAATGTATTTCATTATTAGACAGGTTGTTTAACTTGATATCGTTAGTGCATTGAAAGCTGCTCTTGTTACAGTCATCAATTTTTATAAATTCTAAGAATTTTTTGCATAGTCGTTAGTAGTAGCTCCTATTATTAACTGTAAGTTCATCCGATGTTCTTCCTGAGTCAGTGACTCACGTTTCCCTCGTTATTTTCGTTTACAGGTAATCTTATGTATGTATGATGTAACAATATGCAGCAGTATATAAATTAAGCAACGCAGACCTCTGAAAGGTTTTTGATTTGATATACTTTCATCATTCATTCGTAAGTGGAGAATGTGTCTAATATCGTTTTGTGATTCATATGCTACGGGCTTCAGTAATAATCCATTGACTTATACATAACTTCCGGAAGTGATATGTTATTATTTAAATTGTTATGAAATTCTTTTATCTGGAGATTTATTGATCGCTGTATCGTTTGCCAGCCTTTAAAGTTAATTAATCTGTCTGAAAGAACAATCTCAGGCTAATCTACCTGTTTTAATTACCTGGTCCGTTGATATTGATAATCAACTGAGATATTGTTATATATTCACGTAATGCTACCTTCTATTCGGTATTATATCAATACTGAATATTATACACACATAGATGTAAATTCAAATATGTGTTAAACAAGTACGAATTCGTGATGATAAAGTGATTAAATAGTAATAATTCTTCAGTTTATTTGCTTTTAATTCAGTTGGAAGTCAAAAAGACTCAGTTTGAATACATACACAGTTTAGGATTGCTTTATCATATGGTACCTATCGTCCTTCGACAAAAGTAGTAGTTAGGGAAACAAATTCTGGGCTGTATGTTGTTGTCAGCTACTGAAAATTCAAACTCCTGTACTTTTTTGCTTCACATATTATGTTTAGTATTCTTTGGAGATTAGTGTAGTATTTAAAAATTAAGTGTGCAGCCTACTATTTCCAGAAGCTGGCACACTCAGAGGACATCTGACGATAGGTAAAGCCTAAATTAATGGGTTTGAAAGAGACAATTGATGTCATTTTGAGTGACTCAGTTTAATGTTGCATTTTTTTACGTACATCACATTTCCAAAACTAGTTTAAGTGCAGCTATTTATTGTATTTAGTCGAATTATATCCTTGAGTGCCTTGAAGTAGGCCATCAGAGAAGTTTATTTAGGTTTCAATTAAGTAGTGCGAATTATGTGCTTTCGAAAATCTTTGACTGGTGTTCAGAACGCTTCGAAGATCTATTTGGGTACACTCCTAACAATACTCAAATACCCTTAAATAATCATAATAATGTTGATGAAATAACAATTTTTTCACTCTAATATCTGTCCGAGTAACAGAGTTCCCAGCAAAGTGCTTACGGATGTGTCTTACTATCATGTTTCGTTTAGTTTTTGTTATGCCTAACATTTTATTTTTCGGCTCACAATTCCTTTCTACACTATTCCGGATTTTCTTGAGTGGCTATTCAATTTCGACTAGCAACTCGTAAAACCAATGGGTTACGAAAGATGTCTCGAATCATTCAGTAATCTACATTTTACCTCTATGAATCCATACTTTCAGTATTAAGTCAAACTCGCCAGTGTGTTGAAAGTTTTTTTTCCATGAAAAAATGATTGTTAAGCAATGGGGTTGGTATTTTAGAGCTTTATTGTAAATATCACAATGGCTTAGTGATAAACTCACTCTGGTTTAGTACAGTAGAAATTCAATGTTACATATTCTTTTTACTTTACTTTATTAGGTTTTAAAAAATGCCATTTTAATGTGTTCATTTCTATCTCTCATCATTTATTCACCTCCCATTACGAAACATTGATTCAAATCTTCACTATTCTTGTCTCAACCAGTACACTTTTCATCATACTATAAATCATGAACATTTATTTAATCTGATTTTTGTCATCAGTGATTCACAAAAATCAGCTTAATTGGTTCAGGACTTCAACATTTTGAATAATGTTCTCACATTGATCAGTTTCTGATTTCATTTAACCATAGTAGTTAAGCTTCGTTCGTATTTTTCAGTTGACGACAATGTATTCACTAATTATATTTATTTTTTATTTTACTGAGATCTCTAAGTTGCATTACGGAGTTGTCAAGATTGTTAAGTTAAAAAGCTTTTGGAACCATGAATCGATCAATGTTAGACCACCATTAGAAACCTAGAAGCACTGGACTGCCGTTTCGTCCTAGAATGGGACTCCTCAGCAGTGCACATCCACAACTCCTGCACCCGCAGGATTCGAACTCAGGACCTTCGGTATTGTACGCGAGCGCCCTAACCGTTAGACCACTGAGCCGGTATCTAACCGTGGTAATGTCTAACTTGATCAAATTCACGGAGTTGCACAACCTCATACACAGTCCTTCGGTAGACACTGCCTACACCCGAAACAGGTTGAACTTCACTGATCACGTCTTCCCACTAGAACTCGGAGAAGATTCCTCACGAAGCTAGTCACTAGTGAGCACAGGTTTCAAAAATTGTGTAACTTAACAATCTTCACAACCCCGTAATGCAAATTACCTGTGCTCCACTAGTGACTAGCTTCGTGAGGAATCTCTAAGTTGATCAAAATTTAAAATTGATTTATTTTTTGTTCACTAATTTACTTCGATGCCATTGTAACATATAATTCATTGGACGTTTATATTTGATTTGCGTTTCCATAGTGTTTCGTTGAACTACGTTTAAATTTATTTTTCCTTTATGATAATTAATCTTTTCAAATAGTTCTTTTAAAAGCAAAATATATTACATGTATTCATTTTCATGTTTTGCAGGTTGCATTTTTTTTAAAATTGGTGAAAAAGTCTACCTAATAAATGAGTGAAACATCAATTACCAGATGTAAAACTGTTACAGAAGTTGCTTGTATCAAGTATGATAGTAAAATTGACCGATACATAAATGAACATTCTTTACGTTTATCAGATGCTCAAAAATGGTTGTTACAGGTAATTATCTCATTATTTAGTGAAAAATTTCTTTCAGAAAACCAAAGATCATCCTAACGCGCGTTACATAATGTCAAGTGCTGAAATGCAACTTTTATGCAATATATGCTATGCGATCAATGCTAAAAAGACAATTGATGTTGGTAAATACTTATTTATTTCTACTAACATGTATATATAAGTTGGTTATTTGTATGCTACAGACTCATTCCAATATCTAGATTTCATCTAGTAGAATTCATATCCTCAGGCTTTCATAATATTTTGGAGAAATGCATATCCTATCAAAAACTGCAAGTATTTACTAAAAGTTCGATTTATCATATAAGATTTTCGTGAGTTAATAAGTGATTTACTGTTTCTAAACGTACAATTTATGCTGCGACGCTGTACATAGTGGTTTTGTGTATCGGGTAATCGAAACCGAATGAAAATTCCCTACTTCATCAACACATTTTGCATTTTAAGTTGATCTGAATAGTCGACAAGTGGAACACTGCTCTGTAAAAATCAATAATTCTGTGAGTTTGTCGAGATTAGTGGTGGCTCTATATGATGAGTCGTCTAATTTTGATTTTGATTGCATCAAGATTTGTAATTCCAACTACAGTGTGTAGTTTATGAATGACTATTTCGTGCAGTTAATCGGTGCTGAACTACAACAACAACTCACCAGGTACTTAGGCAATAAGCTGCATACAGACCTTAATGAAACAACTGAAAACAAATTGTGGAGCGAAGGTTACATGGAGAAACGAGGCGAGGAATGCTTAAGGGAATTATTTCTGAAAAATTCATCAACCGTAAGAGTTGGGTAATGAATAATTTTACCCTTAATAAAAAATATCCCACAGATCACAAAGGAATTATCTATGCAACCATTGAATACGTCCAGCCCGTATGCTCACAAAATTGCTTGGGTCAGTTTTGTACAAAGCAAAGGCATAATGACAATCAAAAACAAAGAAAACACTTGATAAATTACAGTCATACTTGATCGCTTGTATCGTATGAATGCATATGGATAACCATGGACACGAGTTCAGCTGGAAAAAAATGTCGAAATAATGAATTGGGAAAATACACAAAGTCTGCCATTCCGTTCAAGCACCAATCGATCAACACATTGAAATTTACCAGTCAGTAAGAAAAAGGATTAGGAACTAAGAAGTAAAATGTCAAACAAACAGGGGATACAATTAAATAAAGTAAGAAAATCATGGAGACACTTCTATGGATAACAGCCTACCGAATTCCAGGTAAATAAAACAAGCAACGACTCAATGATGACTGATTTTCGATAGCTCAATTTTCTTTAAAATATGTTCTTACCATGTTGTTTAGAAGGATAATTAAACTTAAATAAATGTAGATCGAGGTTAAACATTAACAACATTTGATACTGGCTTAGTGGTTAACAGGTTAACAGTTTATGCGTGAGACTGAATGTACTGAGTGGAATTTAGGGTCTCAAAGTCTTAAGTGAACACATCTTAGTACCGCCATACCAGAACGAAATGGCCGTTCAGTGCTTCCAGGTTTCCAATAGTGGTTTAACAGTGATCACCATATGATTTCCATCAAGATTATTTTTCCTCTAAAAACAAACAATAAAACTGAATATGATCAAAGTTTGGTAGCAGGATGGAAAGTTACACTTAAAACTGACATCAAATAACTTGTTCTTGTTTTTTTTTCTACAAGTTACAGATTTAACTAACTTCAACTTCTTAATTGTATATATTTGTTTATTCGGTTTTTAATTTCTAATTTCTAATTTATTGAATTGTCTACTTTTTAAAAAAAATCTGTGTATAGGAGTTTATACTGGATATAGTGCATTGTCTATCGCTGAAATATTACCATCAGATGGATGTGTATTAGCTTTAGATATAACAGATGAATATTTGAAAGATTATTGTATACCAGCATGGAAAATGGCTAATGTAGAATCAAAAATTGATTTTCAACTTGGTCCAGCTATTCGAACATTAGGTAAGTAAGTATAATAATATTAATGTAAGATTTCATATAATTTCACTTTTATTTTATTCATTGATGTAAATGAGATAACCAAGGCAAGAACATAAATTTTATGCTGTTTAAATAAACTTGGTGGAATTTTAGAGCTTACTTTAAAAGTCATAAATATTCACTATGTGAATATAACACGAACAGAAATAGTCATAATCGAGTTTTGTAAATTACCGATAGTTGAACTCACTATTTATCATTGTAATATTATTTTTTTAAGATGATTGGTTAAGCTGTTTGATGAATTATCTTTTTGGGGTTTATAAAAAAATGTTTTGTAGTTCCAGTTAATATTTCCAAAAATGTACCACATAAATATATATTGTTCTTTAGAAATTTTAAACAAACTGTTGTTGATCAATTGCCAATGTTTCAAACGATGTTGAATAAAGCGAGAACAATGAACACAACAGAATAAAATGATTTCATTTTATTTTAACAGTTTCTTTATCCATTGCTTACAATTTAAAACAGATTTGTATTAATCATTGGGAAAAACCTTTGTACATACTATATATACACCATAATGTTGGATAATTTCTTATCAGTAAAAATCAATGGTTGAAGAATGAAAGAACTGTGTAAGATGTCATGTGTCATTCATCAATGTTTGGTTACATGATTTCACATTCCATGATTCTAATTCTTAATTCTTCTTTCATTCGTACGCTGTATATTGATTGACTTTGAAGAGTTAGTTACATAACTATCACTATCATTATATTTCTTTGTTCTTAGTTGTATAGTAATAGAATATTTCTATACTCAGCCTATAGGAATTCACATTTACTGTGAGTCCTTGTAAGTCCTTTCATAGATTTATTGTGTCATTGTCTATTGGCCTACACTACTACTGACAAGTAATTCTCTCCAACATTATGATGTTATACAGTATATGTACATTGATTTTCAATGATTCATACTACTATGTTTCAGGTTGTAAGTAATTGGTAAGAAATCGCAAAATCAAATCAAAATTATATTATTCTGTTTATTGTTAATTATTTGTACTTACTTACTTACTTTAGTTCAAACGGTTAAGGTTATTTGAAAATGCCATGTTTACAGCACGTATTGTAAACTGGTAGTCGATAGATATATAAAGATAACTGATTCATAAAAAGTTTATAAAACTATTTTTAAAACAATTAGTCCCTTTTATAAATTTTGATAGAACACTGAGAAGATGTAATTGATCTGAAAAATGTGATGCATTTGCGCTATACATTTCGAACGATCTGGTCACACATATGTACACTTGTCAAGGCATTTTATATGAAGATGAATAAGAGGTCAATTAAATAAAAGTTCAGATAGACATAGGGTGATAATTGTAAATAAAGGAGAGAGAAAACTATTTTTTACTGTTGGAAAAATTCATTGAACTTTGTATGATAATTTTATTCAATCATGGAATTTAATTTTTTTTGAGATGTTAAATATCCTTTCATAAAGTTTAAATATTTTTCTAGTGACCTTTATTTACATAAACCAATGAAAAAAAATCATATGAAACCAACATAGACATTAAATAAGCACAAGTTTGTCTCATGTAAATCGGTATTGTTGTTGTAGTACCTGCACACATACATTTGAGTTCGTTCATATTTAATTTGGTTAATCCTTTTTGATTAATTTATTTAACCAAGCCATTTGTATAACAACAACTTATATGTACCATTGACTTTTACTATTGTCTGGTTTGTATGGACTAAGCCATATATATATATATATATATATATATATATATATATATATATATATATATATACATATATATATATATATATATATTTCAGTCTTATTATTTCATTCGCCAATTTGCTAATTCACTGACTCGCTAGTTTGTTTGCCTTTCTCTCCGTATGCCTGTGGTTTGTAGTTCATTGGTGATGTGCCAAATAAACGTATACAACACTTCGTATTCGCCTTCTGATTTGTAAACCTTTGAGGCGCTATTTAGGAACCGTTTTCTGGACGAGCAAATTACGAAGTCTAGGAACACGTTGAATACTGACCGTCACGAAATTAGTAAGAGACTGGCCTGTTACCGCATCATGAAGGATAGGCTGCCAACTAGGATTCTTCAACTAATTGTGCCTTGGCCTCTTCTTTCCAATTTTTCAAAAGCATAATTGATTTTTTATTGAAATCAACTGACCAAAGACATTTTGATCATTAAAAAAAAAACTACACTGTTCATTATAATGAATAAATGAATTTCTAAATCGTAAACAAGTTATTATTTGAGAATGAAACAGCTAATTCTCAAATTAGTCAATTAATTAATCAAATGTAATAAGGGAAAATTGGGAATAAATTTTTGAAAACAAGATATATACTATATTAGTGTATATTTAATGATGTAAATACTAATGAATATACAGTATAGTGAAAGTTGGGATATTAAGCTCTATATCTCAGTATCTTATTAATTGGTTAGTGTTGTTTTACAGCATTTATTCTTTACAATAATATATATCATTATATTAGTGTTTTCAACCATAATTATTGAGATGGTCGAGTATATGTGTAGCTCAGGTGGATGATTGTAGTGGTGTTTCGTTCGCTAAGTTGAATGTTTTGGTTGTGGAACTTTCATTGTTCTTCTTCTGAACAACATCATCAGCATAAAATTCAGATAGAAGTGAAGCATTCGAATTTCTCCTCAAACATAAACTAATCAAGATTTTAAAGCCACCCACAGAAGAAAACACAACCAATTGTGTGGTCAACACAACAGAAGAACAACTGCTCCAAAAAGGATTAAACTATAACACAAAGGACGCTTCAAAACTTGAATTCTTCGCTGCACTAGAGTCATCATTCAAAACGGCAGGAATAAGTGAAGAAACTCGACAAGAAATAAGGCAAACCGTAGTACCACTAACTCGACGGAAGAGAGACAACAACCAACTAACAGCACAACAACGAAAAGCTCTAAAAATACTCAGAACCAGGGAGGATATAGCCATAGTTCCAGAAGAAAAAGGACGCACCACAGTAATTATGAACAAGGAAGAATTTATCAAGAAAGCTGAGGAACTACTTGAGGACAGAAACGTATATAAACCAGTCGACACAAACCTAATAAAAAAGTTGGACAACCAAATCTCAAGGACTCTAAACAGGCTTGTTAATGCAGGACATACAAACTTTGTTCAAGAGAGCGAAGACACACTACAGCACGCATGAAGCACTAAAAACGAGGAAAATCATCTTATGACTATCTTCCAAAAGAACGGCTATCCATGCAACTTAATCTTAAGAGATCAACTGAAATCGTCAACAGAAACGAAATCAAGTACAAGAACCAATCAACGGATCATCCTACCATACATAAAAGACATATCGGAGAATACAGCACGATTACTGTAACTATTTGGGATAGGGGGGGCACACAAACCGACAGAATCACTCCAGTCAATCCTATGTAGACCAAAGAACAAAATGAAAAATGAAGAAAAACCAAATATCATCTACAAAATAAATTGCTCAAACTGTGAATAAAACACTACATAGGACAAAGTGGACGGCCTCTTCAGCTTCGTTTACGTGAACACCAATTCGCAGCCAAACGCCACGACAATTCTTCGCTTACATCAATACAAACCGACAATTTTGGACATGTATTCGATTGACACAATGTGGAAATACTGGATAGGGAGGGGGTACCAAGAACACTAGAGACTTTTTAGAAGCTTGGCACTCAGGTCAATCAGCAATCAACAAACATATCGACATTTACCCAATTTATCAACCAATCAGGAAAATCATAGGCGAGATAGGATCAAGAATCAGATCAGAAGGGGGATACATTCACAACAAAGGTTCAAACAACGACAGGTTTAAGATCAACAGCAACCAATCAAGATCGACGTTAGCAGAACAAACTACAGGTCGAATGCCTCGAATACTTCACTTCTATCTAATGTTGTTGTTCGAATGATGTTGTTCAGAAGAACAATGAAAGCTGCACAACCAAAACATCCAGCTCACAGAACGGAACACCACCACAACAATAATTATTATCAGTTTTGTATGTGAATCATTGATGAAATTTCAATTGATTTCAACTTTCTGTACAGCTATCATGTCTGGACTTCTTAAGAGTGATAGAAATTTCAATTGCCTAAATTATTTCATACATAGTTCTCACAAATAATGTTTTCTACTAACTCAGTATCAAATTTTTGCCAAATAATTTATTTATATATTTGTTTGAGTATAATAATCGTTATGAAGATTGCTGAGTTGCATTGAACGCATAAATCGATCATTCTTAGGCCACCATTAGGAATCTGAAATCAGTGGATGGCCGTTTTGTTCTACTACGGGACTCATAAGCAAAGTGCATCCACGATCCACGCTCGCTGACTCAGTGATTTAGAGATTAAACCTCCTTGTGTGAGACTGAAGGTGCTGGGTTCTAATCTAGCGAGAGCAAGTCGTGAATGGGAACTGCTGATGAGCCTTATATTAGGACGATACAGCCGTCCAGTGCTTCCAGGTTTTTGGATGTTGGTCTTGAAATGATCGATTTTTGATTTGAGTAATCGTTTGATATGTTTAGTATATTTACTTACAAATATCTAATTAAATAAATAAGTGTCTGTATAAATACGTGAAATAATGTGATATTAGGTAAAGTCTTCATAAGACAAAAATGGTAATATTCTTTTCAATAAATTCTTATCAGATTCTACAATTTCATATCCAAATTAATAGTCTCGAAAAAAATTTCATATTTTATAGCAAAATACATCGGTTAGAACTAAAGCATTTGTGAAGTTCTGAGATGATCAAGATGCAGCTACAAAACATTCGAACGATTTTGATAACTGCATTGTTATTTCTATCATCCTACGGGATCCATATTTATTCTGAAAGTTGATTTACTATGCCATTCAACTGATAAGCTTTTTCCATTTAACTTTCGATTCTAGTCATCTCAATATTAGTAGTTTGATTTGATTTCACGATCAATCCAAAATTCGTTTGTGTTTTAATTTGAATCGATGTATTTTACCTTAAATCTGAATAGATTTTAGGATAAGAAAAACATGTGAATGAAGTGAACGGTTTCCATTTAATACAATTATACTTGTGAATTGTTATCAAATTTTCAAACGTTAATTTACAACCATATATAATAGTATCAGAAGATTTACAATTTACTCTCTGATTCAAACTAAAACTTCATAAAACTACTATACAAACAAAATTAATATCTGAAAGGAAAAAACTCCTACGTTACTATCAATGAGGTAAGACTAGCTGGGAAAAGAGGGCCCTCCACACTTCACTTTAGCTTTTCAAGAAATCTAAAAATTCGAAGTAGATCAAACAATAGGTAGAATGGAATTTACAGATAACAATAACGAACTATGTAGATTTATGCATGTACAATATGCAGATGACGTTTGTTTCATTACCACTACTGACAAAGAAACAAATAACGCCCCAAGTTTTCTACAACCCTAACTTAACAAATAGAACTTGCAGATATCTTATAATAAGATCAAGGTAATAATCATAGGCAAAATAAGGGAACATTACTCAACAAGTTTAGGGCAAATATGGGCTGGCAGAAGTTAATTAGTCCGACTGTCTACAGCCCGCGATCGAAGATCAAATTTACACTCTTAGTCAATTAAGAACGACAACATTACATTGAATACTCTATTTGCACATCATCTTTGAGTCGTGACTTCCAACGCTCCATCCTTCTTCCATTCCTGTTGTTGCTTCCTTTCCTTCCTGTTGGTACTCCATTTACTTCTTGCTTTTACTCCATTTGCTTTCCGTTTTCCTCTTCTGACCGTGAGACTTCTTCTTTCACGTCCCTTCTTATACTACTTATATCGTTCGTATAAGTAGCACATACCACAATAGTACCTCGAACAAAGCAGTCAATGTAAATATAAGGAAAGTCAAAATAGTGATGATCAAATTTAGATCATTACTGCGATCAACTAGAGTCAGAGTTGTTGACATATAAATCAAACTGGTGGGTTCTTCAATAACCACCATTTTTACCTATGAATTGGAGCGGTCTTCAATACCGCGAAGCGAATTATTCTTGGCCCGAATGACAAAAAATAAGTTACTGCTGACCAACTTCACAATATAAAGCGTTAAGTAACTGACTGACCAATAAGTTGCGAAATAGGCTCAACCTATGATATAATACACACAAAAGGCCAAATACGTAAGGACAGGATGACACTAGAAAGTCTTCTTCCACACTACAGTTCCGTGAGGTGACAGTCAACATCATACGGAACTCTTATGAAAGACTACATTGCAAAGTGGTGTATGGAGAGCATCCCACAGACTCAAGTTTAGAATTTTACTAACTAAAATACTAGAACATTATTCTATATGAACTAACAAATCTCGTTCGGAAGTTGAAATTCAGTACAAAGCTAGTATACACGGACATATATGGTTGAAAATTAAAAAAGTTTTACCATCTAATTATTGACTTCTGAATGTTTGTTTTAAATTTCTTCCCTTACACTTTCAGAAAATTTGATTGATAATGGACAAAGTGAAACATTTGATTTCGCTTTTATTGACGCTGATAAAGTGAATTACAGTAATTATTATGAGCTATGTCTGAAATTGATTCGTCCTCGTGGTATCATTGCAATCGATAATGTAAGTGCTCCATTTATTCCATTCTGATTAATTGATTTCATTGTGGACTGACTGAATTATGTCTGTATGTGCATGCGAAGACATTCATGAACAGGATTGTAAAGTAATTGATGAACAGAATTCAATTTGTTGCGTCTGCTTTTTCAAGATTCATTAACTTGAATTTGTTATATCCGATAAAGACTAAATGAATGATAACTGCCAGAATTAATTTATAGACTATTGTGGTGGAGATTGGTTCTGTGAACTGGATGTTTTTGTTGTCGTCCATCAGAACTGTCAAATCCTTTGATGAGCTGCCCTTTATGATTGACTGCAGCATGCCGTGGAATTGACCTTTAACATCTTCGTTGTAGTGGTTGTTAGGTGCAGAGCATTGGATGATAACGTTCAATGTAGTGCCCTCTTTACTTACTCTGAAGGATGCTTTGATGATTCTGAGTTCATGAAATTACCATCCTCACAGCGTCTTTTGTACTTGTCTGAACTGCATCAATGCAACCACTTCTGTGTCAAGCATTTTCTTCCACATGGCCAGAGTATATGACACGAGCTCTCCTAAGCTAGTCGTAGTTGTCGAATCTGTGTACAGTGTACTCTACAGATTCAACTTCCACCAGGTTGCATATTTTCATTTCCACAGTGACCTGAATAGTTCTTCCGGTCTCCCACAATTTGTGAACATTCTCATGTATCTCTATAATTGGTTCTTCTGGTTAGGAGGAGAGGAATCGTTGTCGTGACTTCCGAAGGAACTCATCTTTCATTATGTGATGTCATAATTCTTCCTAATGAAGATCTTTAAACTTCTAAGGCAGAGTTAAAATTTTTCGAATCATTTTTTTGGTTATCGTTTTATCAGCGATATGTTTTTGCGGTCGCCAACCCCAAACTTATCCCTCCTTTTCTATCCTGGCTTGGGACCGGCACTAGCCTCAGAGGAGCTCTAGGCAAAGTTAGTCACTGTAAACATATTAGAATTTATTAATACTGCAACTGAAACTTCAGATATGTACGTGCCTTGTCAGGAATCCATGAAATAGTTATCATTCATGATTAATTTAGTCATCAAAACTACATCGGATGAATATTTCACTTTTATATCACCATTTTTGATAAGCATATTTTGTGATTATCACATATATAATGTACACTTACGTGTGGAATTTACCACAGACATTATGAATCTTTTAAATAAAATGTGAAATTCATGTCACATCGATAATATAAATAGTTCATACAGTAGAAATAAAATATTTCATTAATATCAATTTGAGATTACACCAATTGATTTATCGCAGAAAAATCCCAAGTTTGTCAACTTACTAATCACGAATGAATAGATTCTTTATTGTTAACCTATCATACAGGTCAACTTCGTCTATTTTATGCGCTGTGCAGCGAAAAGTATTCAGTACTCTATGTCATGTTAACATGAGTCATTAAATTTCAAAGGAATAAAATGGTCTAGTCATTTTGTGTGATTATCAGATGAGAATAAGTTTCAAATGAATTATGTTACTCTTAGGTTCATGAATAAAATCCACACATCTAGATTGTTATGCTTATCACCTGATATGCTTGAAACTATTACGGGTTCACCTTAGTTGATAAACGAGAACGAGACAATGAACCAGTGTCCAGGTAGGCTACTCTGACCGTTGACCCAAAGGAACTAACGAAACATCTTGATATAGTGTAGAAAGTGTATTCTTCAAACACCCAGTAAGCACAATAATGTCAAGTACACAAATCGCGTTTATTTATACATCATAGAAACGTCCTTGGAACCGTCACAAAAATAGCACACTAAAATAACACAGTAATCAATCATAGCCAAGGATTCTCCTGGTGGGAAATGTGATCTCAAGGTCAAATGATCAGCCAATGCTCGCAAACGTGAAATCCGAAATAAAGATGTGTATCAAGCGAGTTCTAAGGATCTAACGTTCCCATCACTCTTCCCCTGTTGTTCGCAGCTGTCTGAAAGGATTCTTTCGGGAACAGAGATTAGCTTGTGACTGAGTTTCTTCTCGTGGTAGGTCGAAGGTATCAAGCAGGATGTCAAGGGGAAGATTTTCTGCTCTTGATGGACGATCTGAGGGTAGACGTTTGCGTATCTTATTTTGATGGCGTGAACACCTTTCTCCTCCTACCTCTACTTTGTACATAACTCGCCCAAATCTTCTGATCACTCGCGCTTCTGCCCAAGGACTACAGTCCGTTGTGTAGTCACGGGCAAATACAGTGTATTTCTGATATTTTATATTTCATTTACATTATTTTCTTCGAACAATATCATGCAATTACAGGAATAACAGTAGAACGTGAACGATTGAATCTACTTTAAAAATTATTTTGGATGTGAAATTAATGCTTTACTTTTTGGATTAGATGTTTGTATATTTAAAGAATAGTCCCATTTGCATAATCTTAGTATATGATTGTATAGATTCGATCCTTGTCTGCACGGTCGTGGATATTCACTGCTTCTATAAGTTCCATAATAGAACGAAACGACTGCCTAGTTCACCCATATTTCCAATGATGGTCTAACAACGATCAATTCGTGATTTCTATGATATGCATGAGTGTTTTACACATTCTGAGAATACGTAAGCGCAAAAGGAAAGTATCGTTGTGGTAATTCTAGAAACATGATTTTAGGTGTATGATCAATGATTAGTTACCAACAAGCTAATAATAGGTTGAGAATAAAGATTATTCTGCATGAAGAGCTGACGGAAGCCAGGAAAGGAAATAAAATAGTTCCGTTCTAGTAGTCTAAATAATTTGTCCAACTAGTAAGATTTGGAGGCCTGGCCTTGATTCTGGTATGAGGTTTGGGGGCTCATAGTACTGAAGAATATTTATCTAAAATACATTAACTGTCCAATGTGAACTTCTTTTCAATTCATTTGCACTCGAATTGTATCAGTGACAAAATTAACCTTTAAAATATGTATGAAAATCTTGACAAAATCACCTATGTGGATTATACTTAAATATTCTATTTTCATCCCTTTACGTTGACAAGGTTATTTGGTCAGGTCGTGTAGTTGATGAGACAAATCAAACCTCGGAAACTGTTAGTATAAGGCAAGTGAACGACTTAATAGCTGTAGATAATCGTGTACGAATCTCTTTATTAAATCTTGGTGACGGATTGACAGTTGTTGTGAAGAAATGATTTAACACAATATTCAATATAATGTAACAATATTTACATTTGTTAAATCGTAGTTTCAATTTTCAATATTCATGTCATTAAAATACAGTACTTTGTAAACAAAAATGAGTAGAGAGTATATCATTTATTTCATATAATGCTGAATTACCATTTCTGAACTACTACACCGCAGCTGATCTATATTTTGCGATCATATATTAAAAGGTCGATTTGTCGTATGAGGTTTTCGTAAGTTGACAAATGATTGATTGTTTTTAAGCGTATTATGTATACCGCGATGCCGTGCATAGTGTTTTGTGTATCAGAGAATCAAAACTGAATGACAGTTCTTCACTTCATCAACATTTTTACATTTTAAGTGGATTGATTTAGGCAGGAAGTGGAAATATGCACTGAAATATCAAAACTTCAGTGATATACAAGTAACGAGTTTGTCAAGATTAGTGATGGTCCCATGTGACGAGACGTTTAATCTTGGTTTCAATCACATAAAGATTTGTGATTTCGACTACTGTTTATTGAATGTGTGTTGGGGATGTTAGATCCCCAGAACTCGCTTGATAAATACCTTATTTTGAATTTCATGTTTGCGAGCGTGGGCTGATCATTTGACCTTGAGATCACCTTTCCCAACAGGAAAATCCTTGGCTGTGATTGGCTGCTGTGTATTTTAGTGTGCTTTTTTTGTGATTGTTCCAAGGACGTGTCTATGATGTATAAATGAACGAGATTTGTGTGCTTGATTGTACTGTGATTGCTGGGTGTTGTAGAATGTACTTTCTACGCTTACCAAAACTTCTGTTTCGCAGTTTGTGATTCAAGGTAGCCTATCTGGACGCTGGTAATTGTCTCGTTCGCTTTGTATCGACTAAGGTGAACTCGTAATAGCTTCAAGCGTACCTAGTGACCAACATAACAATCTGAATAATTACTTTGTCAATTATTTAGTGTACTGATGAACAATCATGAATATTTCATAGATTATGTCGACATTACAGCAAGTGTCATCAAAAATAATGAGTTGTAAAGTGCTTTTGTTTTGATCGACGACATAGATCATGGTTATTACTAATAATCCTGAAGTATTATTTCTCTACTAAAGGATATTGGTGAATCTTGCAAATCAAAAAGAAATCAAGATAACTAATGCATAGAAAAACTCCAATGAAGCGAGTCTTCATACTTGTTTCATTGATGATTATGTGACTGATAATTTAAAAGTAATCAGACAGTAAGCAGAAAGTCTGTGTAGTTGAAAAGTATTTCACTAGAAATTGGATCAAACTTTATTTTCGGTTTTAAGTGTTTGCACTCAACTGGCTAGCGTTTTTTTCCAAAAGTCTCTGCTAAGTTGATTTTTTCAAAGGACTGATAAGAACAAAGTGAATTCAAACAAATTTTGATTGTTTTTTACCCTATGAAAGTAGGAAGATTGAAACACTTGACATATTCTACCATTTCATTTTCACTGTATGGTGATGAAAAGAATTTCATGACAATAAGTATTTTGAGTCTGAACTCCACTTGAATCGCTTTTGGAGTTAATGCCGGTCCTAAGTTAGGATAAAGGAGGTTAGTTGTGTATGCGGTTGGCAAATGCATCTCGTAGAAAACTATTTCGTTAACAAAACGCTAACCAGAAAAAATAATTCACACCATTTTCACTCTGCACTGAAAGTTGAAATGTCTGTAATAAAAAGAACCATGTTTTTTCATGATATCCGAGTTCTTTCGGATGTCATGAGGCCGATACCTCTTCTGACAACCAGAGCAACCCTTTTATTTTGTTTCATGGAGTATTCGAATAATGTGGAAGATCAAAGGAATCACCCAAGTTGCTGTAGAAATGAAAAGATACAACCTGGAAGTGCTTGGAATCAATGAAACTCACTGTGCGCCGGGCGGACAACAAAGACTAACTTCTGGATAGCTTCAGTTATGCTATTGCCATGAAGCAAAAAATTCCCCACACATACAGTAAACTGCACTGATGTTGTCCAAACAAGTACAAAAGACACTGATAGGATGGGAATCTTATTGAACCTGGATCATCAATGCATCGTTCAAACCAAAGAAAGAGGGCTTTCGATCGAACCTCATACAATGCTCTGAACCTATCGACGAATTCAATGACGATTTTCCACGGCAAGCTGCAGTCAATCGTCGAGAGAAGCCCATCAAAGAATTTTACAAGCCTGATGTGCAACCTATATGTCAAGGTTGGTATGGACTACGATGAAGACGTCATGGGACGACATGTAATGAGAGAAAGGAAGGAAAATGGTGATTAGATTCTAAAACCTGCGTGCGTTCAACAATCTGGTCACTTAAAACATATACAGAGCTACATGGATTTAATCGGATCACACTACATAGAACCGAATCCACCGCCTCTGCATCAATTAAAGTTCAAAAGGAACATGAAAGACGTGAGTTTCAGGAAAGAGGCTGATTTACCCGCGAATCGCCACTTGCTGCTCGCTAAAATGAAACTGAAATCCAAGAACCACTTGACAAAGCGAGGATAACATCACAAACGTTTATAACGGCCTTTCTTCGGGATAATGATGAACTCCACGAACTGAAGAAATTTCTTAGCGATAGGTTCCAGGCTTTTCACGACCTACTTAATGGAAAGGAAACTATCACGGAGAACATTCGGAAAGCAGTCAAGTAGGCAATCATTTACCATGTCAGGGGGTTCTGTGCCACAGAAAGTACCATCATGTGGTGGTCAATGTATCACTAGCCTCGTGACCGTCAATGTGTTTTTAGTTTTCGTAATTTGCTCGTCGAGACAATCGTTACTAAATAGCGCCTGACGGTCATAAACCAAAACGTGAACACGAAGTGTTCACAAGCACGCAGCGCAGGGTCAGCAAATTAGTAAGTGTATTGACGAATTGGTGAATGAATTAATAAGATTAAAATGTTTATATATAAATATACATAGGAGAATGCCTGAGTCATCAAGATAATTCAAAGATTAATATTAAAGCGAATAGGATGAGTAGGCGCGTAGGCGTAAGCCATTGGTACATATAAGTTGTTGCTGTACGAATGGCTTGATGAAATAAGTTAGTCGAAAGGCTTAACCTAATTAAATATATGCGAACTCAAATGTATGTGGAGGCCTTGTATTCACAAGGAATGGACCTCTGTTATTACTCTTAATAATGTGAGGGATTGGAGGAACAAAAATGCAGCAATCAACATTAGTCGAACAAGAGAAGAGAATGTCACGGCACAAACGGAATATTTAGAACCAAACAAGCAAGTGTAGAGGTGCATTAGAGCAGACAAACGTGAAAATTTGGAAGATCTAGAAATGATGGCAGAAAAGGTTGCAAAAGAAGGAAACTGGAGTTGATTATGCAATACAACAAATATGCACGCTGGAAACTATCGTAAACCTGAACTACCAGTGAAGTAATCAGCAATGCTGAATTACATCGAGGTGGGGGAGTGTTGGGGATGTTAGATCCCCAAAATTCGCTTGATAATGCCGTATTTCGGTTTTCACGTTCGCCAGCAGGGGCTGATCAAATGACCTTGAGATTTCAACTCCCACCAGGAAAATCAATGGCTGTGATTGGCCACAGTGTATTTTAGTATGCTATTTTCTTAACTGTCTCAAGGACGTTGTTATGTTGTATAAATAAACGAGAGATGTATGCTTGATTGTACTGTGATTGCTGGGTGCTTGTAGAATATACTTTCTACGCTTACCAAGACTTCTGTTTTACCGTTTGGATTCAGGGTAGCCTTCCTGGAAGCTGGTAAAAGTCTCGTTCGCGTTTATCGACTAAGGTAAACTCGTAATAGCGTCAAGCATCCTAAGTGCCGAACTTATCAGTGGCGACGGGGCTCACAATTCACAATGTCAATTAATCTTGAACAGTTAGAATCTTTACTGGAACGTCAAGGTAAACGATATGAACAGTTCCAGGAACGTATGTTGGAGCTGTTAATGAAACAAATGAATTTGAATCACAGAGGTTTTGCCGATGATTCATATAATCCGCATACAGACTCGATAGTTAATTCCATTCATGAATTTCATTTTGATGGCCTTGCTGGTGTGACTTTCGAGTCTTGGTTCAAGAAGTATGAGGATTTGTTCAAGGTCGACCTCAACAATCTTGATGACGCCACCAAAGTCAGAATCCTTTTGAGAAAGCTCGGCACAATCGAACATGAACGTTATAGTAATTTCATCCTCCCAAAGAACCCACGAGATTTCTCTTTTGATGCTACAATTGATACGCTGTCGCAAATCTTCTCTGAACAGTCATCTCTCTTTAATATTCGTTATCAATGCCTCAAAATAATCAAGTCAAATGAAGATGACTGGGTAAAGCATGCTGGCTTAGTAAATCGTGAATGCGAACGATTTAAATTATCATCAATGACGGAAGATCAGTTTAAGTGCCTTGTGTTTGTGTGCAGCTTACAATCTCCCGACGATGCTGATATAAGAACCAGAATCCTAAGTAAAATTGAACAGTGCCCAAACATCTCGCTTCAAGAAATAACTGCAGAGTGCCAGAGATTAGTAAACTTGAAGCATGATACTTCCATGGTCGAAAACAAGGGCCTCTCATCATACGTGCATTCCATTAGTGAAAAGAAAAATTCCAATTCGGCCCAAAAACCCAAAATGAATCCACCTTCTGCTTGCTGGCACTGCGGTTCATGGCACTATGTACGGAACTGCCCATTTAGGCAGCATAGATGCAGGAAGTGTAAAGTCATCGGTCATAAAGATGGCTTTTGCCTACAGAAAAAGCCAAAGCGATCCAGAAGTGCTAAGAAGCCTGTTCCTAGATCCAGTACCAATGCATTGAGCCTAATATCTTCCTGCCAAAGCTCATCACCAGGTGAGAGGAAATTTATTACTCTTAATATTAACGGTTATTTGTGTAGAATGCAAATAGATACTGCATCTGATGTCACTATCCTCTCACGCAAAAATTGGACCAAATTGGGCAACCCAAGCC